GGCGCCCGGCGACCGCGCCGGCCGCGACGGCCTCGGGCAGCGGGCCGGGCCGCCCGAGGTCGCGCGCGGGGAACCCGCGGCCCCACGCGTCGGCCGCGTCGCCGTCGCCGAGGGGCGGCACGCCGACGAGCGCCGCGGCGGCGCCGGCGACGATCGGGCGCGCCGCGGGGATCTTCGACAGGTGGCGCGCGCAGCGCGCGAGGACCGGCAGCGCGGCCGTCGCGGCCGCGGCCGCGGCCGCGTCGCGCGGCGGGCCGACGCCGGCGACGCGCGGCACGAGCGCGGCGACCGCCGCCGTCAGCGCCGCGGCGACGGCGCGCGCGAGCCGCGCCGCGTCGCCGCGCGGCGGCTCGGACAGCGAGACCTCGACGACGAGGAGCGTCGCGTAGCCCGGGCCGTCGGCCTCGAGCGCCGCCGCGAGCGCGCGACCGCGCGCCGGCGCCGCGGCGCGCACCTCGGCCAGGAGCGCCGCCGTCGCCACGCGGTCCGGCCCGGGGACGCAGCCCGCGCGCTCGTCGAAGTAGGGGTTGAGGGGCGCCGGCGACCCGACGAGCGCCGCGAGGCGCTCCGCGTAGGCCGCGAGGCGCGTCGCGTCGGCGTCGGCGTCGCCGCCGGCGTCGGCGTCGCCGGCGGCGCCGGCGTCGGCGTCGGCGTCGCCGGCGGCGTCGGCTTTGGTGCCGCTGGCGGCGGCGTCGGCGACCTCGACGACGAGAGTGGCCATCCTCGACGCTCTTGCCACAAGCCTGCAAGGTTGCAGGGTGCTTGAATTCAGCGAGCAGAACACGCGATGATGGGCGCGTTCGCCCGCTTGGTCGTCGCCGCGCTGTGCGTTTACGGTTCGTCGAGCGAGGACGCGTCCGCGTTCGCGGGCGAGGGCGGCGACGACCGGGGCGGCCTGCGCGAGGTGGATTACGCGCTCATCGCCGCCGCCGCCGAGGGCGACGCGGCCATGGCGCGGCGCGTGCTCGAGGCCGGCGCCGACGCCCGGGCCGCGACGGAGGACGGCGAGACGGCGCTCCACACCTGCGGCATCAGCGGCTCCGCGGACGTCGCGCGGCTGCTACTGGCCGCGGGCGCGGACCCGGACGCGCGCGTGACCGCGCCGCGGGGCCTGAAGATGACGCCGCTGACCTGGTTCGCCTACGGCCTCCACGAGGCCGGCGCGCGCGCGCTCCTCGACGGCGGCGCGACGCTCAACCTCGTCGTCGACGACGAGCGGGGGGACCGGCTCACGGCGCTCGACATCGCGAGCCGGCTGACGGAGGGCCACGAGCTCGTCGCCCTCTTCCGCACGCGCGGCGGCAAGCGGTACGAGGAGCTCGACAACGTCGAGCGCGAGGCCTACACGGTCGGCGGCGACGTCGCGCCCTTCGAGTAGCGCCGCGCGCGCGCGCGGTTTTTTTCCGTCCTCGGCCGCCCTAGAAGGCCGCCCGAGGGGCCCGGGGCCGGGGCGAGGGTGGCGCGTCGTTACGGCGCGCGGACGGCGGACCGCCCGCCGGCGCTCGGCGCGCGCGCGCGCCGCGGCCCGGCGCGCGCGCTAGAAGTCGTCGTC